GGGGCCACGTGTCGTGGCCTAAGTCTAATGTTAGTTTTGAAGTTGCAAGCCTCACGTGAGGTCCCTGCATCGGAAGCGCGGGGCGGCGAACACATCAGTCTTTTTTCGGATAACCGGTGTGCAACTATCGAAGTTTGCGTGTCTTTGTGCTCGAAGACAAGTCGGGAATTTGATGCAAATTCCTGGCTAGCTAAAACGCTCTATTGTGAATTATTCTCACCATTGGCTTGATTTCGCTACAAGATATTTCCTGTGAACTTTCCCTGTGGAAAATCAATCTGATCCCACGGGGAAATTCAGTGCCGAAAATAAATCCTGTGAGGCCAACTTCACAGGGTAAAGACATCCACATACGGCAGCCAATAGAATACATTCATTTTGTTGCCCAGCCATCCGATGAGTGAGGTCGACGGAGGCAAGAGAAGGACTGCGTACCGCTTTATCACTCAAGTAGACATAGACTTCCTTAAGGAGGTCATGGCTGTATGCCCACATGATGCTCCTTATGGACAAACCCTTGCACGATGGGAAGATTTTGTAGAGCACATGCGCGAAATGCACGGCCCCGACCTCACTACTGCAGGATGTCGTAAGCGCCTGGATGATTTGATGGCAGCATATAAGAAGAACACAGTGCAGTCCTTGCGCGCGTCTGGTACTGAGGAAGAATACAATGAAAGAGAACAGCTCATCCAAGACCAGTCGGATATGGTTGCTCCATGTGAATGTATCATGACTGAGTCAAGGTTGTAGATGGACACAACGTACAAGACAAAAAAGACACTTAAGGAAGAGAAATACAAGATGATCGACAAACGAGAAAAAGAGGATCTCATGTTGCGTGAAGCCGCCTAATGACAATGAAGCGTAAGTCAGATGCGCTTGAAGAGGAGGAGGAGGTATCGCCCTCGAAGGTCAAGGAACCAAGACCATCGTCTGCTCTTAAGGATGATGCGTCTGCAGTTGTCGACATTATGTCGATGAGTTGGAAGAACGGCGATATCTCCTGGACAAAGCAGAACGAGAAGCTAGTTTTGCACTGGAGCAACAAGAGCGCCAATCACAACTTCAGTATATGCAGAGCACTATTGACTTGCTTCGTAGCTTGGCCAAAAAGCTGTCCGAGAATTAACAACACGATAACTTTTTATGTTTTAGCGCTTCGCAAATATTCTTGAACTGACGGCGGGGCAACGTTGAAGCACATAGAATCTGGTTGCCACCTTTCATGCATGTGTGAATATTCGTGAGAAGTACAGCGACAGCGTACTGCACACCAACCGCTTGCAACCACAGTTTTGATTTCCCTTGTGGTCGACAAATGTCCACAAGTTTCTAACAATGCCGAAACCCCACTCCACACTCACACGCACGGCACTCATCTGACGATTGAATTGAGCTTGGTCCTCCGAGAGCAAAGCCCCTTTATACCCCGAGATAATTACATCATTGATCCCGTAAGCTGGATCTCCGTAAATAATATACCGGGATTCGTTGTGGCAAAGTTTATCCCGCAACTCTTCCACCAAATAGCTTTTAGCCAAGAGACATGCATCAAGTCGCGATCCAGGCTCGGGACCGTACAAGTGCAGTATGATTCCGTCTGGGGTGGTCACAGCTTGGTACTTTAATGCATGAATACGCTACAAAACTCTGTCACCAAAAGTTGGAATGTCGTGAACTGACCTTGTGTCCGTTGAATACCGCTCTTTGGACTCTCTTGCCAGGCCGACAAATCTCGCGAACCGTACCATCGATAAAGTCAATGCATGTCGTCAGTGGGGCTCCGGCGCGATGAATGGCGTCGCCACACGTTTTTATCCATTGCGAGGTGGGGCGTCTATGGTCCCAGTGGAGCAAGATGGAATACTTGTTGTATATGTGGAACATGACTGTGTTTGAAATGCATGAGAGGGCTTCGCGGCTTCGGCCAAATGTTTCTGTCATAGTACCGAGTCGATGAGGCCATGCCAAGCGATTCAGGAGGATGCACAGAGAGCAGTTGCTCAGTGTCGATTCGGGGTAATTATTGGGTCGGGGATGCAGAGCAGGTTGACAAGCTCGGGTATTTCGCTCTTCCCGAACCGGAACTTGAACACACAGTCGGCTTCTGTCTGTGAAGCGAACGAAGTCAAACCGGCAGGAAGGGATGCTTATGGCACGAGTTGACTGGCCTAGGTGCTCAAAAAGAGCAGCCGCTAGTGGCAACAGGAGGGCTACCTCGTCTCTCATTCTCAACTCAGTGACAACCAAATATCCCTGTGGCGAAATCAACACGTCACAAATATATTCCTGTGAGACTTTTTGTAAATTCTTGCAGGGAAAATCGTGTGGATTCCATTTGCGAAATCACTCTATTATTGAGAAATGTATTCCGTTCTCGTCTCGGAAATAAATCACAATCATTTATCCAGATCGGGAAAGCTCAACATTTGGATGATTTTGCCTGATGCCAGCGAGGGAGAAAACCGTATTCCTTTATCAGGATAATGAAGGCTATAGGTAAGAAGCAATAAAACCTCAACTTGACACAATTTTTCCTCACTCACCTACTCAGAGGATTCGCTGCCCGATGTATCATCATAGGCCTCGTCGTGCAGGGCGTATTCCTAGAGCGCTGGCAAGTTGCTTTTGATAAACGGCAGCGTGTCGACGCTTTTTGGTGTCTGGCGGTTCCGTAGCTATGACTATAGGAAGCCAATGGTGGAGAAGTTCCGCTATGAGGTACTCGACGTCGCCAAACTGAAAAGTAGAAGCCCAGGCCGGTACTTGCCACATGCGGGGCTCGTCGTCAATGGGGAACTTGAACACAGGATGTCTCCAAGACGCCGCCAGTCACAACGATTTTCAATATTATTGGCAAAAGGTATTACTGTTTTGATTATATTAACCATAAAATCTTATTAAAATCACTTGTACGGATTACTAGTAGGAGGAGTTGATGGTTTTAAAGAAACTTTTCAATGCTTCCGGACCTCCAACCATCTTCAACCTTCGGCATCGGCTGCTTGTCATGTTTCCTCACATCTGTGGGTCTGGATGCTGTCATTGGGTGACTTGGAGCATCTTGATGTGGATGCAATCGACGAAGTGATTTCCTGTACTCAACAAAGCCACTTGTTCGCCTCGACGGGTCCAAGATTTGCGCAACCGTGCCATACTTCACACTGTCTTTTTAAGTCCACAGCAATGCTCGATCTCAACGTGCGCCACACTGTTCCCATTGCCACGACGAAAGTGATGACTTATCACTCGACGGCAACTTGTGGCTAAACGGACTCCGACTATGCAGAGTATCGTGTTGGAGGTGGCTCTCCATCGACACTGCCATCTCGGCGGTTTCGTATCTTTATATACGGTTCCATATCTTTGGATAAGATCTCAATAGTGGAGGGACAATAAATAAAACTACATATAATACACACACGACACTGAACCGACAATTCCTGAATTTTCGATTGGATGACCGACACTGCATCGGAGTTTGATTCGTCAATTGAAAAAATCGATTTGTGATTGGGCGAGGAGCTTGTCGCGGCGGCAACATATCGTTAACATGTAACATGTACGCAATGTGATTGGACAAATAGCAGAAAACCCGATCTTCTGATGTAACCTCCATTGAAACCTCCATTTTTGCAAAGCATGGAAGGCACGCCAACGAAGCAAACGATCCAGGAGTCATTCCGCGGCGCGTCCACACGCCGGACGTATAAGACCTACCAAACGCAGTTTGAAGCGTTCTGCAAAAGTCGAAAGAATGGCTTGAGTCCTGTGGTCGCATCCTCGGACGACTGCACAGACTTCTTTCACCACCTGTACTCGTTGGGACGAAAGGCACGTACGATTGACTCGGCCAAGACCGCTTTGGTGGCTTTCTTTAAAATGCACAACGTCGAGTGAATTGGTTTAAGTGTATTGAACAAATTCAGGTTCGACGACAATTGCATGAAATTATTGAGGCAACACCAAGTTTACCAATTGGAATAACTCTACACAGTATGCGTCGTGGTGGTTGCTTTTATCGTGTGTTTGAGTCCCCAGAGCGTCGATTTAACTTCCGCGAGATTATGGCATGGTGTCGATGGGGCGACGCCAAGACCTGCTGTGAATACCTTATCACGAAGAGCATCAGTGATGCAATCGATCCACGAATGTTGCTGGAAAGATGCACCTCTGCTGGAAGCGACGTGCAAGTTGAGAATGCAAGTGGACCCCTCTCTGTCGACGGCATCGCAGAGGCGGTTGTGAAGCTGCTTCGCGGTGGCGACACGTTGGCTCTAGTGCCCCAGGCTGTCCGAGTCCCCCAAGCTACCAGCACAAGACAGACAACGCTGCAAGAGTTTGCCTTACCTCGATCAATTCCAACTGCTCGTTCGGGGAAAGAGGCGTGGGAGCAGTGGTTCTCGGCGGACCCGAAGCGTGGCCTCTTTTGTGCTCTCAAGGACTATACCAAAGAGATGATCAGGGTTGACAGACGGAAGTACTCAGAGCGTCAGACCTTGGCAGTGTCAAGTATCAGACCTTCGCTCAATTCGAAACGGAGTACACTGGGCATGCGGCAACGTACTCTGGTTTGCTGCAGGAGGTGCGAAAGAGGAAGCGTGAAAACAAACTGTAACCAAGTCAATTGATATCGTGTATTTCAGCCAATCAATCGATTGTCGGTTTGATTTGTCGCATTTGCCATTCTATCTATACATAATCGCTCTTGAATATACGCATCGGAGCTTCCAGGATGAAGAGGTTATGAACCTAACACTCGACAAGAACATGGCCTTGTTTGACGACAAGAACTGGTCTACATCGCGTACGATTATCAAGGGTCGGCTAATGGCAAAGGACCTGATCCATACGCTGTACCGCCACTCATACACCATGACATCGACTGAACGAGCGCAAGTCCGTGGGGAACTGGCATCGCGGGCAATACCTGAAGTCGACGCGGCAACGTACGTCCGTGACTCTCTAAAGGCTCTAGGCCTAATCATTGAATCAATCAGTTCTAACCAATATCAACATGTGGATGGACTGAGCGTAACTTTCGAGGCGTATGGCGCGCTCAAGCTTCACCACGAGCCACAGACGAACGTGGACAAGATCGGCTTGCTTGCCGAGTACCACGGAATTCAATGGGAACCGAAAAGGGAGACGCTGGCAGTTTTTATCGAGCGATTCTCCAACCTGGTTCGACGTCTTCGGGATGCGGGATGCGCAGAAGGCGATTATATGACGATGTCCAAGCTTCTGGCCCTCATGCCTTGGTGCCAACGCATTGTGCTCCACCAAGTCAATTTGTTACCTAAAAGATTGCAAACACTTACGACGGCTCGATCACTTTTGGAGGCTGAATGTAAAGCCCTCGCCAACGGAGCGATCCAATCTCCAATCGCTGATATGGGCGATGAACGAACACTGAGCGATGTTGACAACTCGCGCGGACAAGGTCGTCGCGGACGTGGTCGTGGTAGAGATGGTGGCCGTGGACAAAGACAAGAAGGCAACTGCCCCCATTGCAACAAACCAGGACATTGGAAACGAGAGTACCGTGCGAAGTTGCAGGGAGATCCACCTTCTGTCCCACCACCGAGCGCGAAGACAAACGAATCTAGCAGTGATGCCCCGAATTACCCTGTTTACTTGTTTGCTGGAATGTGTCCCTCCAACCTCAGCATCCATCCTTGTGATGACAAAATGGGTCCCTCCAGTCTGATCATGGGTCCCTCCAGTCTCGGTATGAGTCCCGCCAGTCGGTGTCCCTCCCGTTGCAGTCTCAACGCAGTCAAAGTTACGACAAAGATCATCATCAACTCGAGGGCGTCGTCCCACATGACCGGGGCGAAAGAGCACCTGTATAATCTTGATGACTGCGACAGAACAATCATCGTCGCATATGGTCACGTTGCCCAAGCAACTATAATGGGAACGTTTGACTTCATAGTCAACACATCAAATGGGAACAAGTTGACACTTACTGAAATAAGGGTTATCGATGGTATGCCAATGATGCTAGTGTTTGTCCCTGCCCTTTGCCGTCGCAACTCCAAAATTCTCCGTCTCGTCTGGCCACGACAAGTGCGGCATCCACGTTGGCTCCTTGGTCATTGCCAACGGGATCCTCGAACAACCAGCGAACGTATATGTGCTCCAAGGCCATATGACTGTTCCGGCGACGGCGAACGCCACAAGAACCACAAACAACGATGACAAGTTAGCATTATGGCATGAAAGAATGGGTCACGTATGGCTCGCAACACTCAAACATTGCTCCAAACTGGGACTTGGGTTGCCGACTGATCTCTCGGGAGACATTGACTCGCCTTGTCCTGCTTGTGTCGTCTTGAAGATGCAAAAGTTGCCAGCTCCGAAAACAAGTAATCGCACCTACAAAGCTGGTGAATGTTGGGTGAGTGATACCAAAGGACCGATGCGGACCGAAACTGCGGGGGGGCTGCAAGTTTTATGCCGTGTATATCGCTGTGGCCTCGGGCTACAAAATTGTTCGCTTCGTCAAGTCAACGAACGCTGCTACACAAGAAGAAATTTTCAAGGAAGTCCTAGCACGGAGCGAACGACAGACAGGAAGATAAGTCAAGCAACTACGTACCGTTGGTGGGTCCGAATAATCTTCGAACGAATTTCGCGACTCGCTCAAGACACAAGGCATCCACCACGAGCGCTCCCAACCAGACAATCAATGGCAAAATGGAATCGCCGAGCGACTTTCATGGAAATAGCAATGTCCAAGTTGGCCCGATCTGGTCTGGCTCGCCGATGGTGGGGTTAATACGGCCATTTTTATTCAGAACCGCATCGTCCATAACACCAAAGACCAAATGACGCCGATTGAAATCATGACGGGACACAAGCCCACGCTAGCCAACCCCAAAGGTTTTGGCTTTGTCGCCTACAACATAATTAAGGAACCAACAAAACGAGATAAACTTGCCCCAAAGGCCTACAAATGTGTATTCATCGGGTACGCCGAAGACATAAAGGCTTACCGCTTGTTCGATCTCGAGGACAATGAAGTCACCACGGGCGTCCACGTCACATTCCACGAAAGTGAATTCCTCCACCCACCTGTCCCCATCGACTCGCACTTGGTTAAAGCAAACGACAGCGAAGATGACAGCTCTGACGACGAAGGGGAGCCGTACGACCGGACCCCGAAAAGAATCATGGCGCCCATGCCCTCGACGAAGGAAGGCAACGAAATCCGACTTCGCAACAAACTGCACAAGATCGCCAAGCGCCTACCATCAGCACCAATTCCAAACAGCATCTAACAAGAATTGTGGGAAACCCAGAGCCGCCTGCATCAAGACCTCTACAGGCTTGAAGGAGATCTGTAAGATATCGGAAGTGGGGAGCATCCGTCGACTCTTAGCGGCCTACGTGCCCCACTGATTACGACGACACCAACTTTTTGCACCGACGATTACTCGACCAATTCGCGAACCACGTCCACCACAACGCTTCGACGAAATAGACTTCGACCACAATCATTAGAGAGATTTTGCAACTTGTCCAGTCACGATCCATTCCTACAGCTCTGGGACACATCTCGCGCGCCAGCTAATGTGTGGAAATCCAGCTATTGG